CTTGGGGTTGTTTTTTCAAGAAAGGGATATTTTCTTTTTGTCACAGGTTTCCATTTGAAAGCTGGTAAGAAAAATGACACTTGGTTTGCGCACTTGAGGTGGATTTTCAACTTCACGTAAGTCATATCATTCACCAGCAAACGTAAATAATAAAATCATACGACCAAATGTGAAGCATATCTTTTTTAGGACCAACATTGTTGGTGGCAGAAGATAACTTCTCAGTGTCTGTCAAATATCCAATAGCGGTATGCATTTCAACCAGCCTACACATGCACTCACCTCCAGGCTTCCTTTCATGAATGTTCTTACAGAGGTGATGTAAAAGTTAAAATTATAATTCGTGATAATTTATATATCCATCTGTACACTGCTTGTTAAAAGCAGTCTTCATCGTTCATTGAGATAACACTTTTAAATGAAAAATCTAGGTGTGTGCCTGCTCTTCACGTCTGGCTTAAGCTAGTCAAGCAACTACATAGCCGCTACTGAGCTTGACACCAGATTATCAAAACTGAACTGTCGCATAGTGTAGTTGGATTGTGTGGTAATGAGGCGCCCATGTTTTGACAAGGAATTACAACCAAATTTAATGAAAAGAATGAGGGTCTTTTTTGGTCAACTTTGATGGTCGGAGTGGTCACTTAAAATCCAAATGATCACACCATTTGACAAAAAATGCCAGACCATTGAAAAAGAGGTTAAATTGTACGGATAAACAAAAACCCTGAAGGAAAAGTGATATGTGACTTTGAATGTGGATTAATAGTTGTGGTTTTTTGAGTATATCAGAGTCTGCTGATCTCTTATTTCAACCAGACTGGACAGTAGAACGATTTGGGACCCTATGACAGTCGTTCCCATATGCACATATTATACCAAATGAAAAATTATTTTGATGTGCTTCGCCCTGCCCTTGAGTATTTTTGTTGACCAAATATGGATCCTTTTGAGGCTGCAAGACCGTCTGATCAGTACACATATTCTAGATGCGTACGGGCGCGAGCAGGGTAGAAGTGTCATGACAAAGTAAATGTTATCTGTAAATATTTTATAAATAAACTCTAACACAATCCACCAGATCACCGTCCAAGTGGAGAGCACCAAAGAGCAAGGCGATTCACGCATTGAAAAAGTGCACCAACAAATGTGGTGGCAAATGCAAAAGCCTGGACCTTCACAGTATTACCCTCTATTCTGTAATTCAAGTGCAATAACTAACTGCGAAAGGCTTTCTTTCACATTTCCTGTGCCACTTATGCGGCGTGTTCACACCAGCGCTTTTCCCTTTCTAGCCTCCGAGTGGGAGCTTTTTCTGGTTCAGTCTGGTTCCCTTTTCTGCTCGCTCTGTTCACGACCGCCAGACTGCCGTTCTGCGTCATGACGTCACCGTTTACATGCTGATTTGTCCCAACGGCGGTCACAACAACAGACAATGGGGACTACGGCGTCGGGTCGATGATCGTGTTGCTTTTAATCACACGAAAGCAGATTAATAAATACGATCTCAACCTTATGTTTCTCCAGAGTGGCGTGGTTAATTGTTTATTATGTGTTCAGCGGCATTGTAGATCGTGGCGAGTGCTGCATGGTGCTCTTCCACGGAGTTTATTCTCTCGTTAGTCCGGTTAGCTCCACACTGCACGCGGGGGCTGCTCTAAAAGTATTCACTGTCTGACTGTCAACAAGCAGCTGATAATGAGTGCCCCAGTTTTCCCCGTGTGAATTACATGTATGTCAGTCTGAATTGACGCTGTGTTGCATCAACAACGGCTGTTATGAAAGTTCTCTTGGTATAAAACTGGGTGATGTGATAGCACCCGGAAGCAAACTGACACTGTGCCTATTGCTATCGCTACTTGTGGCATAAAGTGGTTTCTACCAGGCACAGTTTTACAGCATAATTTTGATTATGATTTAATCTTGTGTAGTCGGACACCGACTGTGGCAGCCCATCGTAGCTGTATTGATTCCATCAGATAGCTGCTATAATACAAAACAAAACGTCTGCCCTGCTCTCGCAATAATCAAATAACAGTGAACGATGGTCAAAGTAAGGTACAAGGTAAACAGAATCACACGAAGCCTGGTTTACGTGTTTCCTGACTTTATAAAGTGTGTTATAGAGCACATACTGCTTGTAGGCAGGCATGACGAGACTTTCATCGACCCATGTTCAGGAGGCCTGTACTACGGAAAGCTGGTTCAACCCCTATACCTGGATATGTTTGAGTTAGCCGGTTGGTCTAATCCAATAACATACGCGCTCTCGCTAAACGGTACTAGTACGAAAGCGGGTTATCAAGTGGATCGCTCAAGCCACCACCGTGGTCCTATCTAGGTTAAGGTCGCGTTCACATGAAAGGGGTGGTATTCTTGGAAGCCCATTCGACAAATCACAACATGGAGAAACTGACAGCAGCAGCGTCATACTTCCCTGAATGAAAAGTCCAACTATACATATTAATATGAAGAAGTTAAACTTAAACATCCATGGACTTAAACACTTATCCAGAGTTAAAGCCACATAGTTGCACCTGCAAGGTGGAATAACAGCAGTAAAAGAAAAAGTGTTGAATCGTACATTAAAGTTTATGATGATCACTGCCCGTCTAAGACACGAGTGGATCCCTGACTTTAATTACAATTTGTCTCGAGTGTTTCGTCAACTTAATGTGTGGCTTAAAAAAACTCTGCATACAGTATGTGACACTGTAAGTGTTGCACGGCCCAGCTACGGCTCAGCAGACTCAGATAAGGAAATATATGATACATTATGATGTGATATGCCGCGGACACTGTAGCCTTACCTTAAATGTTAGCTCTGTTACTCTGTTAAGCTTTTCCTTAACGCTAATGTTCAATAGTCAGATTGCTCTGAACATGGGAGGTGATATTCTATTAATGTTCACCGTTTCACACAGTCGGACGGTGGATTTTTGCCGGCCGTCTTTCACTGCAACCGGAGCTTTTCGTAACACATAGGCCCATACAAACCAGGCCAGTCACCATATAAACGCCGACACCAAAAAAGACATGTTGCGGCGCCCGAGACAAACAATCCTAAAAGCCGTATTTGCCGACTTCCGCCGCCAACCTGGAACCACACGCAAATCCGACGCGAAGCAACGTATGAATGCGGCGTATGCGTGAGTGGCAAAACTCTCCTTACAGCAGGCGGCGGTAGTGGTGTATTCATCATTCAAAAGAGGCAACAACCGGAACAACCGGAAGACAGAGAAGAAGAACAGACTCCATGATATAAACAAACAACAAATAGCGTTTTTCTTTCCATTTTCACTCTCGTCCATTGAAAACATGAACGAACAGGAGCTCTATAAACCGATGAGGTGAAATAGCCGTCCGTGTGTGTTCCATCTTCCATTTTAAATCATTTGTTTACCTCCCTCACTTCCGTTAACGCTTCTCATGCACTGATTCGCTAGCTGAACAGTCAATCAGTGTTATCCCTTTGTCCGACTTCCGGTGGTGTTCCCGATTGTGTTACCGATTCAACATGTTGAATCGGCAAGAAAAGGCCTCAGGTCGGCAGAAAAGACCCGACGGTGCGGCGCACACCACTCCGAATAGGGCGTGCCCACGCTCATGTTCGGCCCGACTCCCATTTACTGCCGATTTCGGGCCGGTGTATCTGGGCCTTTATATGACTTGATCGCTTTAAACTCCGCACACTGAGCTCTGATTGGTCAGCAGGCAGTGCTTTCACTGAGTTGAGCTCTTAGCCTGCAACCTAACCAGCTCCGGGGCAGGTTAGCCGCACAGCATAAGTTACAATGGAAATCTAGCCTGCTAAAAAGAGAACCAGCTTCGTAGGACCGGAAACCCCAAGTTTTCCCTGAAGTTAGCCGGCTAAACGAAAATCCTGCTTCGTAGTATACCCCCCAAGGGAGGTGGGTTTAGTTTCCTGCACGCCTCGACGTAAGAGAGACGTAAGCGACGCCGCCTCTTAGCTCCGAAGCTCTTGCCTCTAGACCGACAATTTTTTGGAGCTGGAAGTGAACCGGATTCTGGAGCTAACAGGCGGCGCCGCTGCGGTGTGAACAGGAAAAAACGGTACTTTTCAGGCTCCAGCTCCGAGCCGGAGCTGAAAACGCGTTGGTGTGAAAGGGGCATTAAAGAGAAAGGGAAATTAAGTTTTTAACCCAATGCAGGATGTGTTGGTTGTCAGAGCCAGGAGAGCAAATAGACAGTGGCGGCTGGTGGAAAATATATTAGGTGGGGCTGGAGAAGATGGAGACCGAGCACTACTAGGAGGGTCCAGTGGTATGCTCCCCCTGAAGAACATTTTGAAAAATAACCCCTTAATTGATGACTTAGTGATGTAGTCATCAAAATTACTTAGAAGGAGCAGTGAAGTATCACACAAAAATAGTTGCTATGAGTCAGCTGTTTGATTCATCCATAATCCCCAGTGTGGTGAACTATGAATCAAATATTCCAAACACCTTGTCCTGGACATAGTTTATACAGTATAAACTGTTTAAACTGGGACCAAAGTCCAGAGTCTCCAGAAGTACTTTCACAAGCAGCCCTCTTCATCAAATACTGTAACGTTACCTCAAAGTATTCCCACGCACAGACTGCCTTGGGCGCTGAAGTTGTCGCCTTTTGGACATCAGATCTGAGGACGCTGATTGGCTGAATTTATGTTTTACTTGCATAGTTTTCGGGTAGCAACTTTTCTGAGCGCCCAGGCGAGAGGGTAATCAAACATATAATAATGGCGGCGTCGAATTATCGATTAATATTCGCCAGGGCCGTCCGATTTTCGAACTTGATCATGGTCAGTTTCTGGCATCTCTAATACAAATATATATATAGATTTTTCTCATACTGCCTGTGCTGCAGCACCTCTTTTCACCCTCTGTCTGAAACCAGAGCCCAGTCTGCTCTGATTGGTTAGCTGGCTGGCTCTGTTGTGATTGGTCAAAACAAAGGAGGAGGAACTCCCTCTGAGAGAAACTTTGGAATTTTAGCCTTTGCAGACCATTTAATAATAATAATAATAATTCATTTATTTTATATAGGCGCCTTTCAAGGCTCTCAAGGTCGCCGATTTACATGCACAGAAACCGATGGAACACACAAAAGGAAAGGGAATACCCCAAAATGCAGAATAGGGCCTCCTTAACACTTATAGAGTATATCAAAGGTTATCCATAGTAAATTGACTGCATTATTTATACAACAGCAGAGGCTTCCAAACAAGATGCCTTATGATCACCAGGACAGACTAACATTCACAAACATTTAAAAGCAATTAAGGTTCCCTATCTTTCCCAAAGACAGATTGACCTTGTTGACTGCATCATTCTCCGATCACGACTTTTGAATAGTAAACAGTATTGAATTCATAGAAAAGCTGGATGGTCTCATTTAAAACGTTTTTTGTTCTACCTTTTAACAGTCAACCAGACCAACGCTCCACAGTTGTAATGATCTAGAAGGAGTTCTCAACAAAACAATATGTGGTGTCAGCCGGCCCGTGTTTCGCAGCAGATCCTCCGTGAGTCATACTGCACCCAGACACCCTCACACCGGACAGAAGTGTGAACTTTCATAAATCAAGAACTGAACCTTTGCCATTTACAACTATGGCAACTTCTCTCATGTAGATGTTTTATATTTGTCTTTGACTCACATCTACCATGTTTTTCCTGTCAAGGCAACATTTAGAGCTTCTTTCCGCATCATAAATGAGTACGAGTGGAATGATACAATTGTGATGACCATAACTGGAAAAAGGTAGAGGTTATCTTGAAAAATCTAACACAGAGCGAAACCACACAATTTCTTTGAATATTCTTTAGTATCGTTTCGTTGTTCATGTTTAATATTCACATGAAATCCTTTTTACGTTCCTAGTGAAAACACAAACTCCAACCATACCAATACGTTGACCAAGGACATCCCAGTACAGTTTGAAATCAAAATGGCAGTAACAGTGTAAGTGCCACTACACATCTTTTATTTTGTTACTGTAGTTTTTATATATGCCTTGTCTTTTTTATGTTATTTGAATTATTACATTTATTTGTATCATTAAGTCAGTTATTACATTATCCCAAAACTATGTACATATTGAGATCATCTTGTATTCTTTTTAGGAAAGAAGACCTTATTAGCTATCTGAACTTCACAACAGAGGACACTGGACCTAAACAAATAGTTACTACATATAAGGTGAGCCGTTAATTACTCTGCAACATGCAACCATCTAGCCTCAAGGCACATTTTAACCAACCATTAGCACAGAACAAGCTGCCATTTTAGACCAGTCAGAAGATTTAGTGGCATCTAGTGGTGAGTCTGCATACCGTGTTTCTGTTAACACACTTAAGTTGTAAATATTCATAGGTGTCAATTACATTGGGGATACTGGGGACAAGTACCAAGCACTTTTTGTGTATTTTGTGTTATAAATGTTCTGAAAAATTGCCTGCAAGCAAAGCTGGAAGAAGTACTCAGATCGTTTACTTAAGTAAAAGTAGCCAAACTAAATTATAACAATACTCTGTTAGAAGTACAATTCAAACGTGCAAAAGCTTACAATACTTAAGTAAATGTATCAAAGTAATAGCATCAAAATGTACTTAAAGTGTGAAAAGCTAAAGTTTTTCAGTAATGGCCTATTTCAGAATCACATATAAATGACTTGATTATACTTATTGATGCATGTATGTGTTTATCACAGATAGTGAAGGTGGAGCTCATTTTAAATCATTTATATACTGCTGCTGGATAACCTTGGGTTATCCCACAATTCTTTTTAAATGATTTTGTATTAACTAAGAATATTAATTTATAAAGTAACTAGTAACTCGTAGCATCATTTCGAGAAGGGTTTATATGTACAGTCTTGAGAACTGTTTGTCCACTCATACTTGGTGGGTGTATTTCTGGGAACCCAAATGGTGCAATTTGAACATGTGACACATTTATATTAGTAATCTCAGAATAGAAAATGTAAAAGCAAACATCTCCTGTTTTCCAGTAGGTGCACAACCACTACACTAGTAGCCAAAATAAGACATGTAAGTTAAAAATAATTACTAAAAAACACTAAAAATGACCCAAAAAACATTCTAACATTCGGTCCACTTTTAGCTCTGTTTGGTCTTTACCAACTCTGGGTGAATTAGCTGCTTCTTGCGATGTTAGGTTCACCAGCTAGGCGCTTGGTGGTGGGCATTACCAGTGCAGTGTATTGATTTGTATGGCCAAATAATTACATCATGGTACTTGGGCCTTAAATGTGCTTGTAGGCATTTTTGGCCTTTGGACAGTCAAATGAGCCTTTTCCCCTTGTTTAAAGTGTTGCTAAGCTCAGCTAACCACTGTGTCTTCATATTTAACTAACAGAGTTTCACAATCTTATTATCTTAGTCTTAGAAGGTGAATTTAATTTTTAAAAGATATTGAAATGTTTTTTTTAAATGAAACAACTTTCTCTCACTGTTTGCAGATAGGTAATCTTGGTTTTAAGGACTTTCCTGTTAATTTGTCCCTGTTCTTCCCAACCAAACTGGGACATAACTTTGAAATGACAAACTATCAAGTCATTGTCCAGCAGGTAAGATCACTTAACATTACTTTTACTGCTTCAGTTTATAGAATTACACAACAATTAATGCATTTAACAACTTTTTGAAGAACAAAACTCAGTGCTCAAGGAAAACTGACAAAGAATCGGAAGTAAGTAACACATATTTTCTATCACAATATTCTAACTTAACATGTTGTCGAATAACAAATCCCATAATACAATGACCTGCTGGTGTGTTACAGTACTGCTCACCAGAAGAACAGTGCAAAGTCATTTTATGTGACAGTTTCATCCTGGAGAAAGAATCACCCACTGAGATTACATTGATAGGAGATGTACAGTTTAGGGATCTCAAACAACATGCAGCGGTACGTTGCAACAACGTACACCAAATATAACTTAATAAGTGGTGAATATACAGTATAATTAATTGACATGCTCTTACTTTGCAGAATATTGCTTTTCTTAAACGATATACTGGAGATTCTGCAGAGGTTAAATTTAAAAGCTTCATAGAGGTTGACTATGACAACCACCGATATGTGCTCAGTTCTTACAAAAAAGTGGTAAGTTGACATTAGACCACAGTAATGCCATTTCAAAGGTATGGCTTTCTTTATTTTTTCAGGACACCCAATTATTAGTTTTAATTAACCACAAATTAAATGTTTTTTTACACAGGAGAAGTCTGACAACGATCCAACACGGAAATGGGTACATTCAGTCTACACGAACAGCCAAAACAATTTGAATTATGAGACATTTAGATTATCGTTCAAATAAACTCAAACCCACTTTGTAAACTCACATTTTCTCTGCCAACAGATGGAAGTTCGAGTTGAGTTTATAATCCCACCGGATGAACTGCTGATCATTTTAACTGGATGTGGAGTTGGACTCTTGCTTCTGATCATAATCACAGTCATCATGTTTAAGGTGAATTTTCCAACATCTATTTTGAAATTCAGAGTTTAAATGTTAGAAACTGAAACAAAAAAACATTTAAATAATGCTTTTCTAGTGTAAATTGGGTCTCCCTTGTGTTTGGCCTAATTGGTTCATCTTATGTTTGTCATAAGTTGGGTTGTTTTAAGAGGAAAACGCTCGAGTATTACCAGGAACAGGAGGAAGAAGCTCTTCAGGCTGCCCCCCTAGCCCCCACCAATGAGACAGTCAGCCAATCAGAGACTGACGACAAATCTGACCAACTGGCAGAGGAGAATATGCTTCTCGATGACGGCGAGGCGAGCGGCAGCTCCCCACCCACTGATACAATGGAAGTACTGGAATAATGGTATCTACACCCAGCCTTCTATTAGGAGTAGAAGGCTGTTACCCTCTACTTACATTGTTAATTCCCTGTACAAATAAAGAAGTACCAAAAGGTGGTTGGGGTGGACTGTATGGTAAAATGAATACAGGACTTTCACCTACAGTACACAATGTTTTAGTTAAATTGATCACAAAACTAAACCATTAAAAAAACGTTTTTTATTTATTCAACTTTGCGAATTGTAATTTAATGTGGCATGGTAAGAAGTGGTCCTTGGGTTGGTAACCATACCATACAGGACAACAAATTGGAAGGATCAAGTGAGGATCAAATCAATGTTTGATGTTCTTAAGCCATCGATGCCGTTTATTTGCTCTTTGGGTAAACATGCAGTATTTTGAACAAACCTTTATACAACATATACTATATACCATTTTCTGTGCGTATATATTTTACTTTTTCTATTAGACTGTTTTATAGGTGCAATGTTAAATGCAAAAATGGTCCATTGTGCATTAGAGCTTGAACATATAATATCATTGATTGTCTTCTATTTGCAGTAAAATGTATAATATATGTTCAAGGTAACATTATCCTAGTAGTTTTATATTGTCTATTTTGCTTTCTTTAAAGTCTGTTACTGTTGTTGTTGTTGTTGTTGTTATGGTGTTGTAATTATTATTTTTTAATATGATCAACTGATATATATATACACATACACATTATGTCAATATATACTTGCTGTACAATGTATTTAAATATTTAAAATATGATCAATAAAAAAAAAAAATGTAGCATCATTTTATTGTTGGTTTTTGCTGGTTTTAAACAAATAAAGACACACAACACATCTTTGTACTTGCTCAAACTTAGAATATAATATATATACCAATTTACACAAAAAAGAACAAAAGTATAACTTATAAGTATCCTAAATTCGTGGATTAAATTAAATGAATCCAGCTGCCCCCTCTACGGTGGCTGACGTGAGGTGCAAATGCACTACAATAGGCGCGTTCACACCAAGTACTTTTCCCAACTAAGGTTCATAAGAACTCTTTAGTTCTCATGAACTAAGTACAGATCGCGTTCACACCGGAAATTAGTTCCTGGGGGTGGATTATGCAAATGAAGCCGCTGACGTCACTTCTTCTTCTTCTGCTTTGGATTTACTGGCAGGCCGCAAACAACTTCACGGCGTATACTGCCGCCCAAAATCCCCGGCCAGAAGTCCCCGGACTTGGGGACTGGCTTCAGTAGAAGCTGCTGGGACTCCCAGCAGCTTCTACTGAAGCC